CAGTGGCTGGGCATCGTGTGGGCGGCTGGGGTGGAGGCAGAGGCACAAACAAGACAATATAGCAGGGACAGAATCCCTGCCCTCGAGGGAGTGACAGTCGGGGTAGGAATGAGATTGGGGAGAAGTGCCAGTCGCTGTGCAGACCAGTGAGGTCAGGGGGTGATGTCGCAGCCATGACAGTCACCCCTGGCCCCTCCCATAGCTCCAGAGGAGGGTTGTTTTATCCCCACTTTACAGATGGGGAAACTAGGACTCACGGTGCTTTACTCGCTCACCCAAACTCATTCCACCACTAGGCATTGAGTCTCTAGCACCTGACAGCCAAGTGCAGAGGTGGGATTTGAACCCAGGTGCCTGATCCAGGAGGCATCACAGAAGAGGAGACAATTGAGCTGAATCTGATTTAATTCTTTTGATTAATCTGAAACTGCAAAATGAGATGGAAATGACCAGGGGCGACAAGGACTACAGGCCAAGGGAGGAGGAAAAGTGGGAGCCAGGAGGATGAAGAGCCAGACAGACGTTTTCTGGGAAGGGCCGGGGGTACACCTTTCGGGCTCTGGCCCATGTGGGCTCTGTCTCTCCACTTCTGCAGCTTTGTTGCAGAAACGCAGTCGTGGGCTATCCCTAATGGAGTGGGTGAGGCCATTCCTAAAGAAGCTTTTTATGGAAACAGTGGTGGGTGTTAGAATCGCCAAAGGACGAATGCACGGGCCTAAAGGGGTAAAGAATTATGAATTTACTAGAGGCCAGGTGCATGAATTCATGCACATTGAAAGGCAATTAATTAGAAGAAATGTTTTAATATAGATATTCACCCTTTCTCTGTAATACAAGTGTTAACTGAATTCATGATTGACAATGACAGATGGAATCCACGTGTGCGATTGGCGCCAGCGAGAGCTCTATATATATAGACTAGAGGCCTGGTGCATGAATTTGTGCACGGATGGGGTCCCTCTGGGTGACCTGCAGGGATCGGGCCAAAACCCACAGTCCAACGCCGCCTGCAGTTGCTACCTGCTGCTCCCACTCATCCCGGCTCCACTGTGCCTACTGTGGGCTCATTCCCAATCAGTCCCAATCAAGAGAGGCTTGCACTGTTGCAGCAGTGCTCACCAGCCATGAGCCCTGTGTCTGGCACCCTCCCAAGGGAAGTGGCCTGTAGGATCGGGCTGAAACTGGCTCTCCGACATCTTCTGAGGGTCCCAGATTGTGAGAGGACGCAGGCTAGGCTGAGGGACCCCACAGGTGCACCATTGGGCCGGGGAGGGACTGTGGGAGGGCTCCAGGGTGTGTCCAGCCCATCTTGCTTAGTCCTGATCAATCAGCCGGACCCCAGCAGCAAGCTAACATACAGGTTGGAGCATCTGCCCTTTGGTGGTCAGTGCATGTCATAGCGACTGATCGACCAGTTGACTGTCTGGCCCCTGGTGGTCAGTGCGCGACATAGTGAGCAGTTGAGCAGCCTCAGCATAGCATTAGCATATTATGCTTTGATTGGTTGTTTGGTTGTTCTGTGGTTCGATCTATTTGCATATTACTCTTTTATTATATAGGATAAACTTGCTTAATTAGACCTGCTTTCTGATGTAGCTAAACTTTTTCCAGCCCAGGGAAGCACCCTAACTTCTCTTTCAGGTAATTGTTAGCAACACAGCAGTAAATATCAACATGAAGCAGATTATTACTGTAGATCACGCAGGGAGAACAAAGGGTCAAATATGTAACTGCAGCAGTGTTTGACTATATTCTGCAAAGTGAGAAAACATGAAGTCATTTTCAAGGTCCACCATTTCTTCTTTTCAGTCAGGTCAAGTTTCTAAACTTTCTAAATCTCCATTTTCTGGCTAATGAAAAGAAAATAGGATTCTACCGAGTCTCCTACCTACCTACTCCAGGACTTCTGTGAGGATCAAATGAGATGAGGCATGGGAAAACACTTCACAGATATTTGGTT